CCCCCGTTTTTTCTGTTTTTTTAACTTCAGGATTCTTTATTCGTGAATGATGAAGTCGTTACAGATGTGTCTTACATTCTATTCTCTGAGCTTCTTGACTAGACTCCCTCTAGAGTCAGTAAAATAGAATTCCTAAGGACATCTGTAATAAGTTGTGTGACTTGAGTCTTACAAGTGTCTGTTTTCCTTAGTGTAAGGGGAGGGTAGAGTGTTCAACTCAGTTGTTGAAATACACTTTGTAGACCTGTCGTTGTAGGGAAGACAGGTTCCACCCTTAGTGAATAAATGTGCACAAAGCAGAGGTACGAAGATCAAGAATCTGAGGCCATAGTTTTGAGCCGTCTGACAGGTTTGTGCGATGAGTGAGGCATAGACACTTTTCTCACCTGCCTTTTTTTACAGCATTTTTCATGCTCTAATTCAAGTGGAAGTGTAGTTGAATACTGCTTGCAAATAGGTCAAGTCTTGTATACCGAAAATGAGGAACACATAATGTGCTCTAAATTAGCAGCTGCGTGGATAAGTTGAGCTCTATCAGATTTTTAGGCAAAGAAATAAATTAAAACAGCGTCTTAACTTGGAAAATGTTGGTAACAATAATTATAGTCTATAATGCAGTCTATAAGCTGCTGTGATTTTAGAAGCAAAATGCTTTACTGGTGATAGTACATGTCCCTTTCTAATATATACTGCCATGAGCAGTCACTGTCCAGCTCAGGTGTATGTGCTTACCAGAGTTTGTCATCGTGCAGCGTTTTGCATAACTGTTGTGCTTAATGGTTTTATACTCCTCTGTTCTCAGTAGCAATCATGGTTTTTAGAACAACCAGAAGTCCATGTGTGAACTTGTTTGCTGGAGTCACAGTACAAAGTAGTAAAATTAGGGAGTTGAGCAACAGTGGCATTACAGGTAAATTGTTTTAATCAACAGCCATTCCACAGAACAAATGGATTAGAATTTTCAGGGGAACTTTAAAACTGTTCCGATTTATCATATGATTATTACAGAAGATATTTTAGTGTGTTTGCTCAGATTAGCTGTTGCTTGTTTTGTATAGTTTGTGATATAACTTCTCAGGAAGCAAAGCATTCCCTAAAGAAAGACAGGGAAGCATTAAGAAATATTGATTAATAATGTATATGACATTTAACTTCAGCAATATATGACATTCTCGGATAAAGCATTTTAACTGAGTGAGTAAACTAAAGAACTTCATACAGTGAAAATATGTGGAATTTCTTATGAACAACTGAAAACTGAAGCTTGTTGCTCTTTAAAAGCTCTGATATTACTTACATATGAAAAATAAGAATATTGAAATGCAGGTCGCAATTTCATTTGACAGTGTTATCGTTGTTATCCTGGATGCCGTTGATTTGTGTTAATTTCAAAACAGCGCAGCAGTTCTGTCTCATGCTTTTTCTCCTCTGTTTTCATATTTCACATACTGATGCACTGCATCATTGTGCTGCCGTTCAGAAGGACCTCCAGAGGCTGGAGAAATGGGCCGATGTGGGTCCTGTGCAAAGGGCTGGGGGCAATGCAGAACCCTGCAGAGGGGAGGGAAGAACCTCCCCACAGATCAACAGAGGCTGGGGGCCTGCCAGCTGGCAAGCAGCTTTGCAGAGAAGAAGTTTGGGGTCCTGGTCAACACCGAGTTGAGCATGCGCCAGCAGCACACACGCTTGTGGCAAAGGCAGGTGACCAGCCTCCTGGGCTGCATTTGGAAGATGAGTGTCACCAGCAGATCAAGAGAGGTGAACCTTCTCTTGTCCTCAGCCCCAGGGAGATGGCTTGCGGAGTGCTGTGCCCAGTGCTGGCTCCCCAGTGCAAGAGGGAGATGAAGATAGTGGAGTGAGACCAGCGAAGGAGCACAAAGGTGATGAAGGGACTGGATTATCGTTGATACAGGGAGAGGCTGAAAGAGCTGGGGTTGCTTAGTGTGGAGGAGAGCAGGCTGAGGGGAGATCTTGTCAGTGTGTATAAATGCCTGGTGGTGAGGGGAGTAAAGGAGGTGGAGCCAGAGTCTTGTCAGGGGTGCTCAGGGGCAGGACAAAAGCAATGGGGACAGGTTGAACTCCAGGCAATTGCTATGAAAGATGGGGAAACCCTGTTTTACTGTGAGGGCAATGAACAGTGGCACAGGTTGCCCAGGGAGGTTGTAGAGTCTCTGTCCTTGGAGATGCTCAGAAGATGTTTGATTGTGGTCTTGAGCAACCTGCTTTAGTTGACCCTGCTTTGAGCAAGGAGGTGGACTAAGTGATCTCCAGAGGTCCCTTTCATCCTCAATTATTCTGTGATTGATACGAAGCTAACCTGGAAAATCAAAAAAGCGCAGTTTTAACCCGTATCAGTTTCATACTGTAGTATATCATGTGGCTACATGAACAAGGAGTAAACCAGATGAAGATGCCAGTGAAAGCTACTTTGTCTCAATAATGGGCTGCTGTCATCAGGAGCAACTTTCTTGAACAGAGTGAGCAGCTATGTCTAGTTCCATACTGCTACTAGTCAAAGTGGCTGTGTATTTTGGCATTCAGGGAAGAGGGGTTTTAGGTGGTTTGCCAGTGTGCAGAAAGGATTAGGTGGTTTTTAAGTCTCTTCTCATTTTTAGAGAACTGATTGAGTATTGCCCTAGAAAAGTTGTCTTTTTAACGGAGCAGCTGAACAACCTTCATCCAGAGGAAGATCTTAATTTAACTTCAGCACTGTTAGTGACAGAATTGTATTATTCCTTTCAACAGCATATCAACTGTAACACTGCATCCACTCCAGACTTAGAGTTCTCTTCACATTTCACTCTGACCATTACAACGAGCACAAAGTGTACGGTAAGACAATTTTAGTTTCTTCATATGTGGTGAGTGTCACATTAGACTAATAGATAATGCACTAATCAACCTTCATTCATCATCAGTCCTTTCCTTGAAACATCCGTTTCTGCAGTACAGAGGTGTCGAATGAGTCCTTTTTTAAAGAGACGGCTGTAAAACTCCAGTAATAATGTTACAGTATAATACAGGTAGCTGAGGAAAGGGAAGGATACGGACCCTTAGCACGGGGGTCATTCTGTTTTGTTCTTTAGCCCATTTTCTGAAATAGGATTTTTCTCTTCAGACGTGTTATTACCACTGTGCTCAAGAATGACACAGTCACTCTGCTCAGAAGAGCTTTGCTGAGTTTACTAAAGAGTGAAAAAGTAGATGTGGGAAAGGTAGGCTATAGCCCATGTAATAAACATATGGCAGTTCGTATGGCAAACACAGATTCTCAAAGGGAAACAACAGGGAAGTTAGTGAAGATAGAGTGAAGACCGAAGGGGAACAAATACAGCATTAGAATCTGATGACCAGGGGTTTTTACTGCATCTGGTTTATTTATTGTATGCAGGCTAGTATTGCTACTTTATGTAATTTAATATGACATGTTCAAAAGAACACTAATTCTAGAAAGGCTGTGGAATTTGGTTGGAGGGGAGTTCGAACTGCAGCAAACACAAGCTTCTTCATCTTAATATTACACAGCTGCATTTAATTGAGTGAAGAATCTCCAGCAAATCTGAGTCTGATCTCGCTCAATTGAGTCTTATTTGTCAATCAAACACTAGTCAATATGAAAAGGGAAAAAAAAAAGTTTTACTAGGGCACCTTTCAAACACTTCTTTGAAGTCGTGCCTACATTGTTTAGTATGAATCTACATAAATAGACATTCATTTTGCAAGTTTTTTTCTTGGTCATTCGGTATCTGGTAGTCATGAGAAAACAGAGAGAAACATTAATTTTTGATTAATGAAAAAAGTCCCTGATTTTTTTTCTGCAAGGACCTGTGGAATTTGTTGTGTGTGTTGTGTTCCATTTTTGAAGTATAAGTCAAGGAAGATACCTAAGTATTTTTATTTAACATACTTCATGTGAGGGTGTGAGTGACTTCTGAAATAAAGATGTTATGAATGTGTTTAAAGCTAGAACAAATTAGGTATTCCAACATGAATATTTAGAAGAGTTTAGATTGGTACCTATGTGAGGATACCTTTTTGATTTGACTTAGTGATGATGCACAGCTTGCTTGCTTTGTTGGAATAGGGAAGAAAAGAATCCTGTAGAAGGATTTTTGTAGTGTTACATTAGGTAGGGTAGTTGGGATCAAGATGAGGTACAGATGAGAAAGTCTGGTGGTGACTTCAGACGAGTAATGCATGGAGTTTTTAAACACTAAATGATAAGCAAAGGCAGGATGACCTAAATATTGCAGATTTTATGATTGCAGTAATATGCTTTTACATTCAACATAAATTATAAATGCTTTCTACTGATTTATTATAATATCCTCATGCAATTTGACAGAAGTTTGTATGAGGCTCTGAGATCTGTAGTAAAAGCTAAAATTTTTGTAGCCTAGTGTATTGTGATACTTCTGGTGGGAGTTTCATGCTTAGATTTAAGTCACAGAACATCACAGAATCAGGTCCAAAGGGGTAATTGGTAGCTAATTTTTAATAGACTGTTAAGTCTGCTACAGCTGGTTTATTTGGCTTTCGCATGTGTATATGAAGAAGGGATGCACGCTTCCTCCCATATGGACACAAAGAATATGTTGCTGTCTAATGTAAACACTTAAGCTGATAACAAAATCTTGGATACACCTGCGACAAGCAACGTAATGCCTAGTTTTGGATGGGTCTGCATGTTAGTTCATGCTGCTGCATTTGCCACCACTTTTGCTGTATAATAGGATGCATAAGAATTTGTCAGTGTTATGAAGTTTTCCCATGTATAGAACTTAAAGCATTGTTATTGGTGTGAGTTAGTAGCAGTGAACAAATACTTCATAATTATTTGTCAATTATCACCAAATAGAGACACAGTAACCTCTTGGTTTTTATTAAATGGATATCCATGTATTTTATTGTGCATTCACAAAAAAAACCTCTCCAGTTTTTTCTTGTCATAGAATCATAGAATAATTCTAGTTGCCTCAGGGCAGGGTCAGCTTTGATTTCAGACCAAGCTCCAGTGCAGCCCTGGGTTAATTTTCTTAATGTGGCCAGTTTTGAGTAACTGATCAGTTAAACAGATATCTTTAAAAATCTTGGTGATCTTTGATACTTGGGGAGAGTAAAATAGCTTATTTTGCAAACATTGTTTTCCCTAGCACTAGACCTTTATGAAAACTTCATTTCTGTTCTATGATCCTATGGTATCATTGACTTATAAATCAAGAGGTACACCTGCATTTTGTGGCTTCCAGGGAGACGAGGAGTGAGAGAAGAGCAGTGTTTCTGAAATTTTGCAGTGAATGCAGGTTCTAAAAAATGATCAGAACTCTATGAGGTATTTTGCACTTCATCATTTAGGTTTATTGACACTTTGAGTGAAATTTCCACTCTTTCTGTGATGGATTGTAGAAGTTTAGTTAGGGGTTGACAGTTCATCCATCATATCAGGCTGCCTAACCTTGCAGTAAATGAACAATGAAAGTCCATTATTTATATTGAGAATTTTTGAGCAGATGCTTTAAAATTGCAACTTCTCTTTTGAAAATAACATTTGATGTTTTTCTTGTTTGCATCCGTGTTTTCTTGTTCTACTGTCTTTTCATTTTTTGCACAAAAAGAGAAAGCTGCTTATATTTCCCTTTTTTGTTCTGATTCTTGCACTTTTCAAATATGAACATTTTAAAATATTTTTACTTTATTAAAAAATATTTCACAAAAATAACAATTTGGAAATTCATCCTTATATGTATGTGTCAGGTTTTTTACCTCACAACCTAAAGTTCCTTTCAAGGCAGCTTTTGTATCCGCTGTTTCCGTGTGATAAAAATGTGAAAACAGGTTTGTTTGTCTTAATCCTATTGTTGCCGTTGACAGCAAAGCTAAGTTCAGACCAGTGTTACCATCATGGAATGGTTGGGGTTGGAAGTGACCTTTCAGATCACCCAGTTCCAACCCCCCTGCCATGGGCAGGGACGTCTTCCACCAGACCAGGTTGCTCCAAGCCCCATCCAATCTGGCCTTGAACACTCCCAGGGAGGGGCAGCCACAGCTTCTCTGGGCAAACTGTGCCAGGGCCTCACCACCCTCACCGTAAAGCTTTCAGTTTGAAGCCATTACCCTTGTCCTGTCACTCTATGCCCTTGTAAAAAGTCTCCAGCTTTCTTGTAGACCCCTTCAGGTACTGGAAGGCTGCTCTAAGGTCTCCCCTGAGCCTTCTCTGAACAGCCCTAACTCAGCCTTTCCTCACAGCAGAGGGGTTCCAGCCCTCAGATCATTTTTGTGGCCCCCTCTGGCCCCGCTCCAACAGGACCATGTCTGTCCTGTGCTGAGGGCTCCAGAGCTGGAGACTAGGACTAGGATCAGAAATAGGACTCCCTCTGTGAAGTGGTCTGTCTTTAAAAACCAAAGTGGAAAGCATAGGTGCACGGTGATACGCTTGTTGTTTTGTGGCTCCTGTTGAGGGTCAGCTCCTGGTTTGCTCTGTCATCGGGTTGTGGGGGCCGGGTTTCCATGCTGCTGCTTGCCAAGGCACTGTGTGGGTGCAGAGGAGTAGAGAGTAGGCATTCTTACATGGTATGCATGGTTGCTGTTGCTGAACTTGTTTTTGCAGAAGTTTAGCACTGATGGAAGTCATTTAGCAAGTACTCCCAGAGAAGAGTTGTGGCCTGCCCAGTTGGAGTATGCAACATAGAGTTAATTGTTGAAGAGCTAAACTTTCAGCTGGCGATGCTGGAGGCATGAGCTGTGTAGGGTCTGTTGCTTCCTCCCATCCCCCTGCTTGCATGTCTGTGGTAACAGGACAGTAAGCTGTAAAAGCTGACAGGAATCAGAGCCTTAATGCAGTCTTTGTACCAACTCAGTGTCACATTTGCTTTGATGATGATTTGGAACACCTCCAGAACCCCTCAGGCGGGAGAGGCTGCACTTCTCTTCTGTGGCAAGATGTTAAATACCTCTAAAATATGACCTTAGTTTTTCCTTTATATCTTTCCCCGCACCCCCCTTAGTAGATACTGTTCAAAATTCTGCGTTTATTTTCAATTTCAACAGGGAAGTTAACCTCTTCTTGATTTCCCCATACTTTATTTCTGTTCTTGTAAATTGTTCTGGTAAACACTTCTGGGAGGACTTCATAAAGGCTGCAGGAAAGCTTCACCTAGGCGATGGTTAGGAGCAGAGTTTTTTTTCTTCCTGTTCTTTGGCTGGAGGGAGCACAGGAAGATTAACCTCTGAAGCCTAATGCTGACCTTTGGGACTTGCCACCATCTTCCTCATCCTTATATATTCCCGCGCGCGCCCCCCCCTCCCCATTTTGCTTTGTCACTCTTATGTACAAACCTTTTACTTCCTGAAAACTGATAATGCGAGTCCTGAAATAGATATTTCTCTTCTTTCTAGGTATTATCAGTGTTCTTGCTCTTGGAAAGCCTTCTTGCTGACCTCTTGGCTAATTATCTGGTTGTACGATAGTGCCACTTAATTGTACCAAAGGTTGTTTGAAAACCATGCGATTCAGTAGACAATAGGCTAACGCTTTTCTGTTCTTAGATAAATAGACTATGGACATCAATGGCCAGACTTAGCGATGAGCTTATGCAAAATAGAAGAGCTATGCGGTTCCCAAAACCTAAGAGCCTCTTATTAATTGACATATACCTGATTTGTCTGTCCTTCCACCTGTAAATTATTTTAAATTACTCTCATACTTTTATATGACCAAGAAAAAAACCCCCGAGCAGGGTATTAAGGCATGCTGGTAACAGATCAGCCTGAAGTCTCTCTGTGCATCCTAAGTGTATTACAGATGATCCTGTAATTCATTTATTGGGTCATAT